CAGGCTGGTCATCTTGCCCTGTGCCTCAGCTTCTTGTCTTCAAGCCAGAAGCTTTAGTGAGATGTTTTATTTTTTCAATCCTGTTTCTGTTCCTAAGTGTCCTGTGAGTGAGTCGCACCCTTCCAGGAAATGTCCGGGAGGCCGCCCATGGCCAGGACCTCACTGCCCATCATGTGTGGCCCGAGCGTCTTCTGCGAGAAGACAGCAGGCAGGGCAGCGGGGGCTCCTCAACAGGCTTTTCCGCTTGGGATTTTGACAGTTGAGAGAAAGGCAACAGGAGAATACCCAGTAAGCAGAATGACCCAGGGCACCAGCCAGGCAGAGAGTGCTGGGTAGGGGTTTTTAAGACCTGAGGCCCAGGCACATGTTCTCTGTGTCACACTTGAAATGTAATGTGGTTATAAAGAAAAAAGATGGAAAAAATAGATCGCTCAACCATGAGCTAAAAGAACACTATCCTAACATGATTGCTTTGGTGCGTGGAGCAGCAGAAGCTCCCGCGTAAGGAGCAGTCAGCAGGGCAGGTTCACCAGGAGAAGCACAATCCTGCTATGTGTGCTCCTGTCAGCAGACTTCAGGATGTAAAACAAAGCAGATGAGCAGGAGGAAAGGCCTGTGAGTACTCACAGCTGGGCTCGGAGAGCTCAGCACTTTTTTCTTGGAAATATTTTGAAACAGTATTTATTTATTTTTCATTTATGTATTTGGTCCAGGGCCTCACTAGGCAGCTGGTACTCATAGTGATCTTCTTCCTATTTTCACCCTCTCCAGTGCTGGGATTACAGTTGTGCACCACCTTGCCTGGACTCATTGCCTGGCTCAGTGCGCCCCGAGGGCAGGACCGGTGGGGCATGTGGGACCAGGGATCGAACCCTGGTCCATGCACTTGCCAAAGCAGGCACTTAGTCCACTGAGCTGTCTTACCACCCCCCTTTTTATTTTTTACCATATTTATTAATTTTAATATTTTGAAACAGAAACAATGGGAGCATAGTTGGAGTTACTGAGGGCAGGAGGGCTGCTGTGGGCTACCTGCACACGGCCACAGAGCACTGTGCTGCAGAACATGCAGGCCTGCCATGCGCTGGGTTTTTGGCCCCAGAGACCTGTGGTGTCCAACCTCGTTCTTGCAAATGACTAACCAGGCAGCTGCCCAGAGCCAGCTGGGATCACTGAGGAACAAAGACAGAAGACACCATGACAGCCACGTGCAAACTAAGAGGTGACTTCACTACGTGTGTGAGGCACGAATGGGTAACAGGCAGCTGTGTGCCCATGAAGCTGACAAATTAGATGCCCTGAAAGCTACGGACCACTGAGCCTCACACAAGAAGAGCTAGGAAACTGGGAAGATTTTGTATCTTGTGAAGTGGTTTGATTTATTGTCCAAAACCTTAAAGACACCTAGGCTCATATGTTTTCATAGTTCAATTCTAGAAAATATTTAAGAAAGATCTAATATCACATCTGCACAATCCTATGTAGAATATAGCATTTTTCAGTGCATTTTAGAACATAAATATCCTGGGTCCCAAAAAAAGGTGCAAATATTACAAAGAAAAAAAACAGAACAAAATATTGCCAGGTTGAATTTAACACCAGGGCACCACACTCTGGGTCCAAGTAGATTTATCCCCACAATGCAAGAACTCCTTCACAAAAGCAACCAAAGTAGTTCACTCTGCTAACAGACCATAGAAAACGTACATGATTGCCTCAGTGTTTGCAGAAGAACACTAGACAGAATTTAAATATCATTCATGACAAAAACTCAGCAAAGTAGTAACTTACTCAAACCCATAAAGGGTCTAGAGAAAACTCATAGCTAACTTCAGTTTGATAGTGAATTTAAGAGAAGGGAGCAGGGTGGATGACGGAGACTGACGCAGAGACTGTGACCAAGCGACTTATGATGGAGGAGCAAATGCCATTCAAAGGGGCAAGTGCAGCCTTTGCAGTAAGCAGGGCAGTGCTGGAGTAATTAGCACACGTACGCAGAGGGGCCGATTAGCCGCATGATTATGAATTAGCAGTAACTTCCACACTTCACACCGACACCACCAAATGACCTCAACGTGGATCAGAGGCTACCTTGTAGAGCTTCAGAGATTAAAGCTTTTACATAAAAACACAGGAGCAAACCTTTGTGGGTGTGAAGCAAAGGATTCACGGTAGCCAAGACATGATCAATAAAAGAAAGAAAAGAAATAAGCGGGACTCCATTGAAGTCCGCCGCTCATACTCTCCAGGTGAAAGGCACTGCTTACCTCGTAGTATCGGGTAGGCCTGCCTGGTCTAGAGCTTTATAGCCGACAGAAAGTTCGCATAGAGGACATACAAAGATGCATTAAGCTCTGTAGCAGTGAGCCACCTATAACGTGGGCAAACGGTGTGTAGTCCCTTTGTTAATAATTACTTATGGGCAGGCAGTAGCACACCAAGAGATCCTTACCACCATCAGGCGAACACGAATGTAAAGCTCAGCAACATGGCTGCGTACGTACTGTGAGGGCAAAACTCAGAACTGACACCCCCAAAGTGTCTTCCGGGTCAGTGGGACCTCTCCTGCCCCACAACTAGAAATGCAGTGTGCCAGTCACTCTGGAGAAGGTCTGACGCCTTTGTATGCATCTGGCTGTACACAGAGCAAATGAAATCGTACTGCTAGGTGTTCATCTAACTGGAATATACACAAAATCCTGCACGCGAAGGCTTAAGCAGACTAGTGAAGTATCTCAGAACTGGAACCAAAGCAAAGCCTATTCCCTAGAGAATCAGTAGCTCTTCTGTGATCACGCGTGGGACCCAGCAGCACGAGTGGTCAACAGGGACACATGTCACAGCACAGATGAATCACATGCACTGTGCTCCACGAAGACTGTAGGCTCAGACGTGGGCACGCGACCTGATTTAGGCACATGACCTTGTGGATCATCGAGCCAGAGGCCTGCGAGTCGGCTGGGGCTGGCAGGGGTGGCATAGGGACGTCTGCCTGCGGTGGTGCCCTTGTGGGCCTTGTGGTGGTGACAGAGCTCTCCCCACCCGACTGTGGCAGCCTGTACCCACCATGCACACACCCATGCACAGAAACGCACGCCGAGGTGGTAGTGTGCGTGCAAGTTAAATAGACATGAAGTAAAGACCAATAATGGCTGTTTTATGCATCTGTGAACAGTTTTTCTCAAATATACTTGATTCCAACTCATTCATTTTAAGATGAATTATTGTTTGATATCATTAAGATAGGAAAAAAAAAACTAAGCTACACCATACCAAATAATTTTAAGATGTTAACTTATCTCAAAGTTGTAATAAAATGAAAAAATAGGTACCTTGAAATATATATAATGTGACATTCATAAATACAGACCTATTTCCCAGAAGGCCTATGGCCTGGCTTTGAGTCCACAGGACAGAAATGAGAAGCTGAGTCACAGATCCATGACCAGGGCAGCGAGTCCAAAGGGCAGGGTCAGTCCTGGGCCGGGCGGGGGCTCTTCCCTGTGTGCGGGGTCGGGGGAGGCACACCGCCCACCCTTGCTGTGCCCGAGTCTGTGGAAATGCGATTACGCTTCACTATTCAAGTGCCGTGTTACGCACTCTGCTTGGTCCGTATGATGACCAGGCAGCGTAATGGTGTCTTTAGGTCACAGAGAAAGGAGACGAGCTTCCCACATATTATTTTTTTTAAGGAAAAGACTGAATGAGAGCCATGAAGCTAGAGCTGTCATTTATAAATGTGCTTCACTTACAGTAAATTCAAGATATACATTCTGATAGAATAGATGACTTAGAGCAGGCTGTGACAGAGACGGCTGATTACTTAGATAATTCATTGGAATTCCCTTGAATAGAAAATCCTCTGCAAAGTTCTTACATGCTTTGGGGAAACTGATGTACATGTGTAGCTGAGAACGAGTGATGTGAGGTCTGTGCAGACGAGAAGCCGAGATTTTCCGGCGCGCCTCTTCTCTAGAGTAGGAGGCATGAATGGCTGCACATCAGCGAAGCAGCTCAGGTGACCGAGAGCGTGCGGACCTCCGTGCGGCCATGGTTCTGGGCGGACGAGCACAGGGCTTTGTTCTGAACACGCAGCATCCTTGTGTCTTGGGAGAAAGAACGTGCAGCACTCACCTGGCCCCACGGCAGAGGCGAGTGCACACAGCTCCCACCGCCCGCTCGCGCCTGTGTGTGCTGTGTGTGTTTCTGCAAGCCAGAATCAACTGAGCCAATTAAGCTCACACTGTGAAAAGTGCCCAGTTTCTAGGTGATCACCGTGGTCCTGAGCTGCCATTCAGCCCACCGTCCCGTGCTTTATGATGACAATGTGCTGCCCCACGGATCAAGCCCATGTTCTGCAAAGTCCCTATGGATCATCTGAAGGTAAATTTAGAAAATATCATTCAAATAACTGGTGAAAACCTTTGCACTTTAAGCCCTTGTTTAATAGTGTTGCTTGGTTACATATGCCCAACATTGAATTTTCTTCATAGGTTCAACAACGTGTTGGCAAATACACCGGTTGTTCCTATTTTCAATGTTTATTATATATAGTTGTTCCCATGAACATAATGCCTGGAATACATCTTAGCATCTCAAATGTCTGAGCTTTAAAACTAAATAATGTGAAGTATTTTACATATAGCAAAAAGAGCCTCAGTGTTTTTATAACTAAGTGATGAGATGATGTCGTATGAAAGGAATCGGAAGGCAAACCACACTCACGGCGCTGCGTGTGCTCAGTGCAACCCTTTATTAGTGCAGGTGCAGCGGGCCCCACCACAGACACACTAAGAAGAGTCAGAAACCAGGCGCTTGCCTAAGAGCTGAACACGGAGTGGCCAGCCCCGTCTGTGTCTCCCACGCACTTTCAGAATGGTTTTGACAGAGGATGATGGCTTCTCTGGCCTGCTCCCGAAACACACTCAGTGCAGTGGGGTTTGACTCCGCAACAGTTATGACTGCAAGCTGGCAGTTCCAGGGTGCTGGTCCACAGCCAAACCATGAAAATCCAGAAAATGTGAAGCATCAACTGTCTCATGGTCCAACACCAGCCCAGGTATATTTTGTGCACTAAGCTCTGTGGTTTTCTATCATATCTGATGCATTTGGGGCTCTTAAGTAACATAAATTACAAAATTGTAAGCAGTTTCTCTGGAGTTTATAGTTTTCACAAGATAGAGGGAGGTATCACTTTTGACTTCAGTGTGGCGTAGACTAAGGTTGCATTCGGCATAAATTGTTGAATATTTTTTAAAAGAAACACAACTGATTATGGAGTTAAGCAAATAAGGAGATAGTCACAACCGCTGGAGGCGAGCGCTAATGATAGAGTGACGCATCCAGGTAGTAGCGCATCCAGAGAACTGGATCTTCCTTCTGTTTGCAAACCCTGGTCTTCTCCTTCCCATGAAGGAGGCAGGCGAGTGGGCCGGGAAGCCGAGCCGCACCGCACCGCAGCCGCGTCAGCTCAGCTGCCTGAGAAAGTGACGTGACCTTGGCAGTTTTAAAGGACATAGTTTTGTTGATATATCAAATGCTAACAAACTACTCGTGACTGCTTGGTGTAAATTTGCTTTGTTAGTGTTGCTTCACAGTGATATTTCAGAAAGGCTGGAAATTGGGCAACACAGAACATTTCCCACCTTTTCTATTTCAATTTTATGCAAAAATCATCACAATATATCTGGGTCTATAAAATTACAAACACTCTCTACAAGTCAGCGCATCTCTATTATGGTAGAAAAGGGTGTGGGTGACATGTCTACAGTGAACATACGGCTAAAGAAAACAGAGTTTGAGTAACAATGCTTCCCGGGGAGGCGGCGTAACTAACCTCGCAGGGACAAGGGAAGGCTGAACGCAAAGTCTTGCTGCAGTTTGTTTTGTGGGCGAGGAAGTGATGAGTGGAAGAAACAGGTCTAAGACACCGTGACAGCTCACTTCACAGCATAATTTTGGCACTTTGTGGAGCATTTACTTTGCAAAGGACCGGAGATGGCATACCAGTTGGGCCGGCAGCACACGCCCTTGGCACTGGAGTAGGCGGCGACACGACGCACAGCGAGGTGACATTCCAGGCGTGCACACGCATGCAGCGGCTGTGTGAGTCGCGAGTCGCCAGGGGAGGCTGCTGCCTTGCCTCAAGCGCTCTCGTCAGCGGCCCTTGTTTCAGACTTCAGTCTTACGAATTCCTTCGCCACCTCATCGCCCGTCCTCTGGGAAAGTATTCGAAGGATGGTCAGGCCTGTCTCGTCCACCGAGAGGCTTCTCAGAAGTGGGTACCACGCCCCGTGGCTGCCCTTCTCGGCGATGGGCTGCAGCCGGATCACGGTCATGCCCACCACGCGGTCCTCGCGGGCGAAGCAGTAGTCCCTCACCGCCAGGTGCAGCTCGCAGGCCGCTGGCCGGCTGTCCTTGCCCAGCGTGCTGCGGGCAGAAGCACAGGGGAGGAGCGCTCACTTACACGGCCAGCCCTGGCGGGCCCGCTGCGCCTCTCCTGCTGTGCTGGCAGGTTGAGGGCCCACAGGTAACCGCGACGCTTTAAGCTTTACTTAGATGATTAGCTGATTCTGCAGTTAGAGATATTCATCTAACTAAAAGCTCATTCTCTCCTAAGTGGAAACGTATGCTTTAGTGCCTTAGGGCATGCATGAGCCAGTGATGGGAAGCAGCCAGCTGCTGTGGGCAGGGGCAGGGGCTCCCTGACACCGAGTCTGGGTACAGAACGGCCTCCTCCCGGAGCCGGGCAGGGTGATGGTGCTAACGGGAGAATCTCGGTGCACCTCGCGTCAGCCGTGTGTGCTTCTGCCAGGGCCCGCACTCTCTCCTACTCAGGAGCCTCCTCTTTGGGTGGGGGGGTGCTGCAAGCTCTACCCAGCGATTCTAGCTTGGATACAGACTCCTGGCGCCAGTCAAGCCCACCGTAGCTGGGGGAGCTCGGTGTTGTTTCTCCTGCTGTGACAGAGGCCTGTTAGGAGGGAAGCCGTGGACAGGGAAGCTGCAGGACAGGCTCTGGAGGTGACACAGCCGGCACAGCTGTCAGGCAGAGCTGCTAACAAGGAGCTGGGCAGCACTGCGCAGCCAGCGTCCTGTCCTGACCTGCTCGTCCTGCCCTGTCTCTAACCCTGGGACAGTCTTGCCTTCCTAAGGAGTGCGCCTCTATTTGTTAGCTGACCCAACGGCCAGAGCCCTTCCTTTCCCAGGTGATTGGCTGTGGAAACATGTTGCAGAGCCAAGCCTTTGTTTCCAGGAGACACTGACGACTAAGCTGCCCTTACCTAGAGATATCCTGAAAACTGTGAAAGAAAACGGTACCCAGATGCAAAGGCGCATGCAGAAGGAAAGGGAGGGCGCGTGAGAAAGCCACCGCCAGAGCCTGTCCTGCGGGGTCCTGCCAGGTCTGTGGGAGTCCAGAAGCTCCGGAGCATGCATTTTAATGAGACCAAAATGCCTGCCCCTGTCACTTGAGAGGCAGAGTCCTGTGAGCGGCTCTGAGAGAGACCCCTGCTGCGGTCTGTCTGTGCATGTAGAACAATGTAGCTCAACGGAGTTAGAAGAGTGGGGTGCAGACTGCTCGGGGGTGCAGGAGCCGAGGGCGCAGAACAGGGAAAAGCAGCGAGGCCCTGATGGGTGTGCGGAGCCCCGTCCGGCTCTGTGGGAGCTTGCTCAGATTCCTGCGCCTGGATATGGCCACAGGGGCCAGTACTACCGAGCTGCTAACACCCTTGCAAGCTCCACGTGCCTGTCCTGGAGGCTTCTTCGAGTTAGCGCAGGGTTAAAGCCAAGTCCCCGATGTCATTTCCTTGCCCTATTTCCCACCTCAGCAAGCCACTCTGCCCAAAACCTCGGGGCCACCCTGGACTCATCAGGGCCCGTGTCCCTGTGGCTCCCGGAGGTCCACTCTGTTCTCCTTGCCTTTGGCAGTGGATGCCACCCTGTGTGCCATGATGGCGGGGTGCCTAACCTGTTCCAGTTGCCAGCTTGGTTTGGCCAGAAGGAGGATGTCATCGAAGGGTAGGTCCCTAACCTGGCAAGCCCCATGGGAGGTGGGCAGCTGGCACAAGGCTGCCTGCACAGAGGCCCTGCCTGCCGTCTTCCCTGCCTGCCGTCTTCCCTGCCTGCCGTCTTCCCTGCCTGACCTCGGTTACCCTCTTCCTGCCTCTCCTCTGGGCCATGTAGCAGCCTCACTCTTGCTCATGTTTCAGGCACTGGTGGGAGCGAGCCCAGCTTCAGGGCTCCTGGACACCTGACAGGGACCCAGCCGGCTCGCCCTTCACCTTCCACTAGTGCAGGGAGGATCTGTCTCCAGCACGGGCCACACGCTTCCTGCTGCTGGGCCGTCCTTCCCTACTGTCTGCCTGCATTCGAGTGCCAGTCAAGGCGCACTCCTTCATGCAAGCCTTGGCCCTGGCCCGGTGAGCTGAGACTTGCTCCCTGAGGTTGGGAAATGCACGTGGAAAACCCGAAGCTGAAGCATTCAGCACTGCCCGGGAAAGGTGAAGCCGGACATCTACAGCGAGCGATTTCCTATGTATTTTCTAAGAGCTGACTTTGGCTCCTCCTTCAGTGCACCAGGCTGCGTCCTGTCTGCCCTGACTATTCCCTTTTATGGGAAATTCATGTCCTGATCCCTGGGACTGGTCCTGGGGGTCTCCAGGTCAGAGGCCACAGGCTGGGTGGGCCCCTGGGCTCTGTGAGGCAGTAGTCGGCGCACCAGGACTCAGCTCCTCAGCACTTACTCCCGCCGGGCTGCTCCCTGGGGCGTGTTCTGAGCTGGGGCTGTGTTTACTCTTTAGAGACAGAGGGCACATGAGAACTGCCCAGCAGCAAGGCCTGTACACCACATGCGCCCACCTCCTGCACCTCTGCGGGGTGAGGGGGCCATGAAGGGCTGCGTGGGTGGAGGACAGAACGACCACTGCTTCCCTCCTGGCAGTGACACTGGGGCCTGGGCTCGCTTCCCCAGCCCTCTCTGCTTGGAGTCCCTGCATGTGTCCTGGGACACAGGGCTGCTGCACAGGGCTGCTGCCTGGTGGGCCAGTGGGAGGGGCTGGGACTTACAACTGGAAGGTCTCGTTGTACTTGGGAGACCATGTGTTGCTCTTGGTCTTCGTGCCTTGCTTTCTCTTCTTGTCCCCAAGGTTGGGGCCTAGCATGCAGACTTCCACAAAGGGCCGGAACATCGCGGTGGTCTGCCAGTGCAGGTCACTGATGGCGATCACTGAAAAGGGAAGGGGACATGAAATGCTACCAAATAAATGTGTGAAGACTTAGCTTCCTCCTTGTGGCCACTGCATTAACATTTACTCACTTATTTTTCTAGTTAGAGACAGGATCATGCTGTGCAGTTGAGGCTGGCTTGGAACCCTTGGCATCCTCCTGCCTCAGTCTCCCAAGTACTGGGATTGTAGGTGTGTGCCACGACACCTAGCCTAAAATTTTTATTCTAAAATATGACCTATGCAGTCATAATTTTCCTTTGGTGAGGCCCTAGTGCCAGTAACATGCGAAAGGTCTTGGAGGAAAGAGCAGGTTCTGTGGAAAGCATCCCCGTGGAGTTTCAGCTTCCGGCTGTGCCCTGCTGCTTCTGTGGCTCATGAGAACTTAGCACGGCTCTCTAGCCGAACTTCAGTGTTTTCATGTTAAAAGCTGAAATGCATTTACCATGAAATGTTTAGAAAATACATCGGAAATCGATTAATATGAAAACTTAACTTTACCCTTCAGGCAATGGGGCAGTGGCCGAGCACTTCAGTTTCCACACGTGACGTGCGCTTCCTCACAGTGGGCTTGTGGGGTGCTGCAGTCGCCTGAGGAGCGGCACTCAGTGAAGCACCGTGGGTGTCTAGCTCGGTACAGGTCTGGCCAGGGCAAGCCTGCCCCTTGTGTGGGCATCTGTCCTGCATGTGACCAGCTGCCATGCCGGCCCCCAGCTCTGGGCTTGGCAGACCTCCTCTGTGGGGCTTCTTCAGTGATGACGCCCTTGGGACAGGGTCTTAGAACGGCAGGTGAAAGGACTCCTGAAACGCTGACGCCTGCCGTACCCACCAAGGTTCCTGAGAGGCCTTCGTGGAGGATGCTGGCAGGAGGGAGCGCAGCCATTGGTCCACGTCCTCACCTGCATCCATGGTTCAGGCCAGCCAGGGTACTTGTGCAGCACCAGGGTGCAGCAGGTGATAAAAAGTATATTGGGGAACACAATGTAGGGCCAAGCAGATATCTAATGGCCAGACCCATAACAATAGAAAACTAGGACATGGTGCAGCAGGCCAAATGGCAACCCTAAGCTTCGCCTTTGAAATAACACCTGCATCGAGACTTTTTACAATATAAAACCAACAGATTCACATACACTAATATCAAATTGTTTCTAATTATATAGAAAAAGTGTAACTTCTGAGCAAAGAATATCACGGCCAACGTTCAGTGAACATCAGGCGCACAGCCCAAGCACAGAATGGATCCAGCTTTGGAAATCAATCCCCAGTGGGTGCTCACCACTGAGGTCTTCTGAATAACACGGTCTAATGTACACGCCATTGGGAGTTTCCATTGTAGGTTGAAAGCTGTTTTCTCAAGAAAGTCTCAGCAGTCCTACGGTCAATGTATATTTTCATAAGCTTGACAGGAGAGAAAGCGTCTCACACTGCCCCTGCCGTGGGGTGAAGGGTCCTCCGGTGCTTAGCAGCACACGACCTACCTTTCACGGTGACCTTGTGCTCGCCAGTGCCTGGAGTGGCTGTGATGTCCACGTGGACAGAGATCTGGCCCACGGCGTCCTTGGGGGAGCAGCCTGCAAGGAAGCGGAGATTACTGCCCGGGCTCTCGGGTCCCCTGGGGATGGACACCTGTGTGCCCTGCATTACGGCCAGGGTGCAGGGGCAGGGCTGAACAGACCCTAGCGGTAACAGCCAGGGGTGAGGGCCACGGAGCAGTCACACTGAAGGGGACATGGTGGCACAGCACGTCCACGCCATCACGGGGGCATGAAAAGCGGGAGTTCTCTCGTGCAGAGTGAAGTTTACACGTGCTGTGCAGGGCCTGTGTGATGGGGTCGGACGAGCTCCGATCCTGTTCCCAGCCTGCCCAGGCAGCCCGCTGTGTCCTTAGCCTTGGCAACCTTGCTGTGAATTGAGGGCCACACTGACCTCCTCACACGCACGCATTTATTTTGTGGCACAGGGGCCTGAACCACACCTTTGCACTCTGCTCCCTCCACCACCTTTTTCATTTACTTCTAAGACAGGGTCTTGCTAAGTTGCTGAACTGTCTGCCCTCCTGTCTCAGCCTCTCGGAGCGCTGGGGTTGCAGGCGCCCTCTTGCACACGCACTTATGAGTGTGTCATCTGTGGACAAAGCCCCTTTTCACAAATTGGAGTGCACGAGCTAGTAATTCCTCTTCTTGTTATTTTCTGACCTAGAAAGAGATGATGGAGACCACTGTTTCAGCCTGCGTAAAGTGCCGCACTTCCTCTGTAACCTGGAGCATCCAGCCCTAACTACAAAATGGGTGCTCAAGTGACTTGAAAGCGCTTGAACCGATTACTTGAAATGATTCCCTACTTGAAAATGAATCACAGAGATGCTTACAAATGTTCAAGCATTTAAAATATGGCAGTGTCTGCGGCAGCCCTTCTGTGAGCTTGGTCGGTGGCCGTGACCTCGCCCCTCCCAGCTGTCCGGCTTCTTGCTACTGCGGTCTCAGGAATCACTGTCCTTCACGTGGGAAGCTCATTCTCAGGAATTCCTGGTGTGGATCCAGCTGCAACTCTGCAGGGGCCTACACCAGGGTGGTCCCAGTCCCCGTCTTTCCTGAGGACCCCGAGTGCCTCCTGCTCTGCACTGCTGGCCCACGCTGCGATCGCCAGACAGGTTATTCCAGACTTCCAGGGTCACCAAGAAAAGCTGCACAATGGAACTGCTTTCTCCGCTGTTCTAGGAGACCCATTCAAATATCTCTATTATTCTTATATTTTATTCTAAAAATAATTTTACTTGTATTCTTGATTGCCTCTAATGTTACCTAAAACAGTGCAAAAGCTCAGGGCGATGGAATCTGGCAGTGCTGGCTCCGAGTCTGTGCCCAGTCAGTCAGCAGAATTAAAATGCCTTGAGCTTTCCTTTCCTGATAGTTAAATGGAGAGAGAACCACACGCCTGGCAGCATTGTTGTAACGCATCAGACTAAATGACACGCATCACGTGCCATGCGCGGGGCGGCCAGCAGGCTGGGCTCCTCACGGCCTTGCTCAGCACTTCCGAAGACAATGACTCGCCTCCCAGGTCCCGTGAAGACTCCTGCCTGCTGCCCCACATGAGCCACGCCCCCCCCATATTATGGTTCTTCTCTGGTGAAAGCTGACCATCCAGCAGCAGCTTCTGAGCAACGGAAGTTTTCCTCCGCAGCGCTGGTACTCTGGCTCTGTCCATTAGGATCACCTCAGTGGTGACCAGAGAGACTGCACGAGCCTGGCCTGTGCTGTGTAACAGCCCTGGGCAGCCATGATCCTGTGAGGTGCAATCATTGCAGAGAGCAGTGGTAGCCAGGAGAGGCTGTGTGGCAACACAGAAGGCGCCGTGGCGTGGCAAGTGCCTCGAGGTGCGAGCCCTGAGCAGGCTGTGCAGAGGCGCCCTTGCGCTGTGAGGAGGGTACAGGTCAGCACAGCCACTGTGCAAAGCCGTGTGAAGGGTCCTTAAGAAACAAAGCTAGCACTAAGCCACCACCAGGACTATTTCCAAAGGAAATGAAGTCAGTCTGTCAAAGAGACACGCACTCTGTGAGCATTAAACACAGAAATTAAAAATGCGGGAGACAAGCACACTCCCACGTCTTAGTTCACGATAGCTAAGGGCTACAAGCGATGTCAGGATCCACTGCTAAGTACATGGGTAACACCCACGGAACATACACACCAGGGCACAGCATTAGCTGTAGGAAAGCACAGAACCTGGGATTTGCGGTGACCTGGGGGCCCGGCTAGCATTAAGTGAAATAAGCCAGGCACAGAAAACACGGGCTCACTCACAGGCTGAGCAGGGCACTGTGGGCTGCAGGGAGGCTGAGCGTGGCAGGGAGTGGGAGGCCAGGAAGGTAGGGGTGAGGGCAGTCAGAAAGGGGCAGAGGCACCGCATGCTGGTGGCATGCTGTGCCCCTAGAGGAAGGGTCTGAAACTCCTCACCTTGGGACGGCAAGTATGGAGCGTGGGGGGAACCACGTGTGGCTGGCGGAAATGCCACAGAGGAACCCGTGTCGACACACGCTATGCTGTGCACATCAGCTCTAAGAGAAGGCAGACAGCAGATGCTTGTGTGTTCAGGACCAGTGCCTGCCCAGTGCTGGGACTGTCACAGCCTCTGCGGTGTTTTGCACACATTGCCAGGTGGCATAAACTGGCGGTGGCTGGCTTTTCCCTTCTCAGGGTCAAGAAGTGCTGGCCAGATGGCTGCTCCATCCACTAGGACAGCCTTCCGCAGAGCACCCAGGAGGTTCCTTTCTCCCGAAAGCCACATGGCCTGGCCACCCACCCAGGTGACCCGTCCACGTGGTGGCCTCACTGCCATCCCCAGCCGGCCCTATTGTGCTGGCCATGGGAAGGGAGCTGCTATCTGACTGTGGACTTCTCAAGGGTCAGAAGCTCCTGCATGGCCCCTCTGGGACCTCAGAGGCAGCCACCGCACGAGCTCAAGGGACAGCTGCCGCAGGACCCCTACGTGGCCCAGGAGCATCAGTCTGGCCCAAGGCCTCTGGGGTTGTCCCTGGGAGGGACAGCTGTTAGGAGACAGAAGGGATGTGAACAGAGGCAAAAGCATGACTTTAATAAAGCTGAACAAGAGCCAAGAGGATGCAGAGGAACAGAGACAAACTCAGGAAGATGCCGCAGGAGGCATGGAGGAACTTGGCAAGAGAGTCTGAGGGAGGGCTGATCAGATCTGGGAAAGGAAGAGCCTGATACCCAGCAGACCACGCAGCCCACAGCCTGAGCAACACGCCCCATCCAAAGGAGTAAGCATGTCGTCCCAACCCAGGGTCATGAGAATGAAGCTGGGGAAGGAGAATTCCAGGAGGTGACACAACAGAGAACCTCGCTCATTGTTGGAAAAACGGGGGTGTCCGCTTTGAGGGGGCGTACAGGACCCAAGCACACACGGCCACAGCAACTGTCACCGAGGCCGGCTATCGTCAGACTTCCAAATGGTCAAGAGAAAAGCCCCAAGGAACACTTAAGAGTATCATTGTACTAGGCTAAAGGCAGACTCACCAGCACAAACCCTACAGACCACCAGGAATGAACAGAATACTTCAGCCCCCCACCAAGTGACTTCCAACAGGAAATGCCCTCACCATGGGCCTAGAGGGTCCAAGGGGACCTCAGAGCACATGCCACTTCACAGACTCTGGTGGGTGCAGCTTGGGACCATAATGTCGAGTGGAGTAAGTCAGACACAAGCTTAAACATGGCATGGTTCTCTTAAATAAAAACCTAAGTGCCTACCTGGCAAGGTCCTGAGTTTGATCCCTGGTACAAAAAGAAAAATCATTTAATGAAATAAAACCCTTTTTGATCCAGCAGTTTCTCTTCCATGGTCCTACCTTATAGAAATATGGGCACAAATGTGGATGACTAGCATTCTGTTATTGTGGTTTAAAATCAGACAACCTATGTTTGTAAGAGTACAGCAGTGAGCGTGTCATGGTACATCTCATGGGACACTGCCACGCTACACTAGAAGTGTGGAGGGAATCTGCACATGGGACACGAGGCAAAGGCTAAGAACCCGTTCCCGTGGCGGGTGTGAGAGGTCACGCTGTGTGGCCCCAGGGCTGGACGTGCATGTGTGCAAGCACACACGAGGTGGCTGGGCGTGCCAGTTTTCCCACCCTGAGCTTTTGCATCATCTCAGTTGTTCCAGTGAGCGGCTACCATTTGTTCCCATGTGTGCATGCATGAAAGAGCGAGACGGCTGGGGCAGGGCAGCAGAAATGGGCATCTCCTTCCTGTTACTTCCCTCTCGGTGAGGACATGCGCTTCCCTGACGTGTGGTCACACTGACCAGGATGTGGCCAGGCCAACCAAGGCCAAGTGGGTGTCCTGTCCACTTGCCCAGGGCACCATGGGCATGAGTCGTGCTGCAAGGATGTGGCAGGTGGAAGGGGCAGTGTCCCCTGCGATCTGGTAACAGCTTCCTGGATGACAGCGGAGACGGAACCAACACCCCTGCAGTCAACAATCAAGTGTGTGCACCCGGAAGCATGCTAAAAACCATTTAAAAACACTAAAAGAAATCACTTGTTCTTCAGTAGAATTGGAGCTGAGATGATGAGGTTCTCAGCAGGTTCCACACAGGCACAGAGCTCAGATGTCCGGAGAAGACTGGGCAGTGGGGCAAAGCCAGCAAGAGGAAGGCCAGGCTGAAGAAGCAAAAGCAGCCAGCTGTCATTGCTGCCTTGGCGTGGCTGTGCGGCCGGTGGACATCCACAGTTAACTCCCCGGAAGGCCACGCCTCCGGGATTACTGCTCCTTCCTTTGCATCTGGAACTGGTCTAGCCCAGCATCATCAGGCCGGCCAGCACGTGGAGCCTGGTGGGGAGATGCAGAGAATGGTGACAGACGCAGTGCAGACCCGGCGAAGCCTTTGTGTCTTCCTTCTGCCTCTGTTAGTCTGTTTTGCATAATGACCATCACCCAGGACTGGGAGTCTGACTTTGGAATTGAGGTCCACAGTACTGGGGTACAGGCTCTAAGTAAATGAGGTGAGCGTGATTTAGTCATCCATTTATTCTGGTGTTAACCCC